GACGCAGCAGTCCAGTCAGTGATAAGAGAGGTAGACTATGTTTAGGCATCTTTTCTAGCCCCTTCCCCATGTGGGGTGAGCAGAGTGGGTCCTCAAAAGGGCTGCTCAGTCATGGATACAGCTGCCGAACTACTCAACTGCCTCGGACCTTGAGGTAGAGCGACTGAGTCCGTATTCACCGCCCATGTGCCAGTCTGTGACTAGGGGCTTCCAGATTTCACAGTCCTGCTCCTGTCGTCACTCGCTGATCGCCATGGGACTTTGGTTGGCTTGTTTTGTTTTTTTGTTTTTCCCCTTGGAAGATGCCTGTGCGTGATTTTTTTTAATGTGTGGAGGTTAGTGCACACTGATTAACACACAGTTTTCACAGAATGAGGTCCCACAGTGGCATGGTTAAGATGACGGCCGTGGCTTCTCAATCTGTTGCAGCCTTCACAGCCATTGTAACATGTACTGTCTGTTCCGACATTGTGGTCTTTGGGTCACCGGACCATGCTTAGTCTGGAACCTCCCCTGTGGCCACTCCTGGGAGGGCACGACTCCAGTCGTTGGGTCCACAGGTTCATTGGAACACGCAAGTCCCCTCACCATGACAAGGTGACAGTCCATCGAGGGAGAGTTATATACCAAATTATAACTGAGAATAGATAAGTGTCACTATGGACATATTACTGATTTCATTAACTGAAAATTGAGCTGCTCTAAGCCTATTTCATGCCATATTGAGACATAACTTATTCTCAATAAACGGAATGTACAAATGGATGGACATTGATTAAGAAGCAAGTGTTATAAATTCTTCAGAACAACCCAGGAAGGTTTTAAAATTTTGGAACGGGTTTTTGTAAGATGAGTCTGGAAGAAAAGCAGCTGGATTCCTCTGAATCCAATACTTTGTGCTGTTTGTCAGTTCAGTTTGAATGTGTGCCAACTATGAACTGTAGCAAATGATTTTCTCATTCTGTAATTGACAGACAATTCTTCACTCCTTGCGTTGAGAGGAGGCAGTTGCTTTAAATGATGGCATGCAAGCATGCAGTGTTACCTTGCAGTGAGGGTGAGAAAATTATGCTCCAGATGTTGCTGGGCTTTAGCTTTCAGCAGCCCCTAGTTGGCAAAGAAGAGAGGAAATCTGATAACACACATATGTGATATGTCTTTCCTGCTTTGTAACACACCTTGAGTAGGATCTGATTAACAAATTTGCAAACTAGATTAGATGGTACACTTTCTTTTCTTTTCTTATAAAGTGAGTCACCATTCCCATCCTAGTTTAATCGTGTAGACATGTCTATGTGATGATAAACTATAATTTTTTAGAAAAAGAAGTGTGTGTGTGTGTGTGTGAGAGAGAGAGAGAGAGGGAGGGAGAGAGAGGGAGACTTTTTTATTTTACTGCATAGTAAGGCTGCCCTGCCAGGGCTTTTCAAAAACAGACTTTAAAATCCCAGAAGAATGTATGCTCATCTTTCTCTCTGAGTAATAAATTAAGTCAATCATAATAATTAGTGGGAACAAAGCCATGAATGTTTTATTCACCCAGTACAGTAATAGTTATTAAAATCCTTATCATTTAGCCTAATTATGATCACTTGGCTATAAAAATATCAAGTAGAAAATGTATTAACAGAGATGTAGCTGTAGCATATTGTAAATGATGCCACTTCAGGGTGTCTTTTATTAAACCACTTTGCCTTAAATGGCCAGGCTGCTGGCTCAGAGTGGGTCACACACAACTAATTCAGAGAGGAGGTGTGTTTTCCAAGCACAAGACACCGCTTTACTGGATTCATGGACAAGATGAAGAGGACTAATGCACCGAGAATCACTTCAGATAAGATAAAGATAATCTGAGATTCACCTGTCTTTTCATTGATGGTAGCTTGTTTTAGAGGAGATTGCATTCCCTAAACTAGAAATGGGAATCATGAAGCTATACAGATGTTGTTGGAGTGTAGCTCCCAACTTTTTTCACCCTTGAGTATGCTATCGTCCAACAACATTTATTTATTTATTTATGACTTTTATATCCGGCCCTTCTTGTCCCCGGCTTACAATACAGGTACAATCTGATGGTTTAAGTGTATATATAAAAAAATAAACAACATATACATTAAAATCACATGATTTTTTCATGTCAGGAGTGACTTGAGAAACTGAGAGTCACTTCTGGTGTGAGAGAATTGCCTGTCTGCAAAGACATTGCCAAGGGGATGCCTGGATCTTTGATGTTTTACCATCCTTGTGGGAGGCTTCTCTCATGTCCTTGCATAGGGAGCTGGAGCTGACAGAAGGAACTCAACCCGCTCTCCACAGATTCCAACTGCTTATCTGTCGGTCAGCAGTCCTGCCAGCACAAGGGTTTAACCCATTGCACCACCAGGGGCTCCTTATCACGTGATTAAAACATATAAATTAAAAACAATTACTTAAAATCACACCTGGAAGGTTTCACATTTCCCACTTCTGCCCAGTTTGGCCATGGTTTTAGATATATAATTGTTATGAGAGGCACAGTTGGTACCTCATCACATGGGGCTCTGCCATGTGATATTTTCTCCTGTGTGATAGGGAATGGATGATGCAGGGTATGGGATGACGGTTTCCCTCACTGCCTGCCTGATTTCCCCCTCTGCCCCACAGATTTCCCTGCTGTCTGCCAACTTGAGGATCTCAATGTAATTTGGGGTGCATGTGCTTCAAAGGCTCATAGAGTCAATAGGCATAAAGTTTTAGCTTTGTGGGCATATTGATATAGTACACTTATTGTTGGACGTGAAAAATGCTTTTGTAGTTATATCTAACTAAAGGGATATATATATATATATTTAAAAACAATAAATTTATGCTGAAACATTGCACAATTTTAATAGTAATTTTGGTGTCACCCCCTCTGATGTTGTCCCCTGGTGTGGTCCCTTCCATAGGACCCCTCTATGTGCTCCTTTCAGCAACAAAGAGTAACACCCCTAGTAGACCTCACTCTTGTAGTTGATTTCCTCTTAGAGTCAATATTGTGGTGTTTGTATTTTTGTAGGTGGTTTTATCATCTTAAAAATGTGTGTTTTCTTCCATTATTGTTTTAACATGCTGTAGTTTACATTTTAATGGATTGTACTCAAATAGCTCTGTTAAAAGGTTTGAAAGGTATAGTCAATAAATAGTCAATAAATCTATAGTGAGCTGTTCACAAAGCCAGGATGGTAATATACTGCATGATATGTTTGGCATGGGAGGACAGATAAATATAAGTAATGCCTTAACACATTATTCTGACTCTCCCCCTGCCCCCCTTATGTAGAAGTAAGAGTGATCGATTATTATTTTCAGATGGAGAAACTTTCCCTTGAATGTGGCCTTATGTGGTTAGATCAATATTTCCAAACGTTTATAAGGGGAATTATCAAAAAGCTGCTGCTTTCTAGGACACAATAAACATCAGCTCCTCAGCGTGTGGGAGCACTGCCATAAGAAAGCTTTACCCTGTGAAAAGAAGGAAAAGTCACCTTGTGACTTCAGAATAAATATGAGATTTTGGCCTAAAATGAACCATTTGTCATATTATGCTGAGACATACCGATGTTTGCACTTGATGTTATATATTTATGAATGTATTTTCTTAAACTTCAAGACAGTTTAAAATATGAGGCATTTATCTATAAATACAGTACACAAAGCTCTTGTCAATGCTTGGCACATGCGTTAACAGATGTGTCCCCTCTGAAGTAAGGAAAGCATCGTATCCATTTATCTCCATACCTTACACAAGCATAATACAAGAAACGTGGTTCAACTAATTGCTATAGTATTGGCATAACACACAAGGTATGCTTGGGACTCTTCCAGACTTGTCATAACAGGGTTTTCTTACTGGCTCGCCCCTTTCTTCAGGGTGCTAAGCATTGATGCTATTTCTAGGTTTTTTTTCCCCTGAAGGACAGGTGCACTCAATAGGATGTGATTGGAGTCTTTGATATCCTCACAGGCTCTAAATATGTAACAAATCCAAGGTTCCCACATCTAAGACGATGGAACATCTTCTCTAGTCCTAAAGGAAAGCAATCTTAGGGAAACAGTAGTGCCTTGAAAACTGTGTCCCACCATATCTTTGAGTGATATGTTCCTAGGTTTCATGTGGATATATGAAACTGTAGATAATAGTAAACCTTATTGAAATGAACGGTATATGGCCCAAAAATACCAGAGGGGAGGTCATATGATATTTTCCTGAGAACCAGTGTGGTGTAGTACTCTGAATATTGGATTAGAACTCTGCGAGATCACGTTCTAAGCATTAGAGTAGGACTCTAGGAGAACATCTTCAAATCTCCACTCAGAAACAAAAAGAAACAAGGGAAGGTATCCAAACAAATAAGACCTTCCTCAAAGGACTACTCCTTACATGAATCTTTTGCAAGAGGGCAATCGTATTGGTGTGGTTTTCTGGCCAAACGTGAACTTTCCCAGGTGAATTAAGGACTTCATTATTCAGTGAACATTAAGTTTCACCTGTTACATGGCTTTTATCTACCTACCCTACTATTGTAGTTGAACATGTCTCCACACTTTTTAATGTACTATATCATTGCATTACTCATAGTTTATTGTCCTTTTGAATTTTCTTGTGTAATTTTCTTTTTGCTTTCTTTAGGATTATACTATAATATTTTATTTTATTTTATGTATACTTTGCTGAAAAGCCACACACGGTTATACAGAGCATTATTGCTTCCTGTCATGCTGCTTACCATGAGGGACCATGGAGGGAGAGAGAAATTTCCCAGTTTTTCCAAGTACCCTTCAGAAAAAATCTGGAGCTAGCATTAGCATCTGACATTCAGAGGTTCTGAAAAAGAGCTGTGAGCATGGCAGTTTCTCTAAAAACACATTTAAAAACAGTAGATGTCATGAAGGTGGCATTACAGAGTAGGTTGGATAGAAAACTGTTCTTAAACAGACTCTTTCACAACAAATTTTCTCATCTTCTCTTTTGTAGAACTGAAGCTTCCCATTCCAGTTGCCCACCTCTTGTAACTCCTGAAAAGTATCTTAAAGAGCTGAGAGGGAGGAAGGTTCATGGTGAACTTTATAGATTGTGATGTAGAGATTTGCAGAGGAACGGATCATAGCCAAAACTGAACACAGGTAACTTATGTAAGTGAACTTTAACCTCTTTTTGTGTCAAACTTCATTTTCCAAGCAGTACTTGATATCAATGTCTAAGCTGTTTAGAAGATCTTCCAGTTCTCCATAGATTTTTTTCCAGGAGGCTGAAAAGATCCATTGTGTGAGTAGTCTTTCATTGCACAAATACAGAATCATAGAATTACATGACTTAATCACACACAATTAAATAAGCATTTCTACACACTTAAACTGCCACCAACGGTGCCCTTCACACAAAGTAAGCTTCAAATATGGGGCAGAGGTGTCTTGCAGTTTCTTTTTTTAATTTAGAAATTTATTTTGTTTAATCCACAAGCTTTATGATAACTTTAAGATCTTTGAAAAATAAGCAAAAGCCCAATGAGAACATGAAAAAGTTTCAGGTCCTTAAACTTTCAGAGATTCACACTCTGAAAGTTACACACTATTCCAAAGGACCACAACAAGACCAAGAAAACCCTATGAGTGAGGCAACAACAACATTTAACAGACAAAAATGTATGCCAAATTCTGCTGAGGCTGCTGATTGTGGGAAATGCCTTTTAAAAAAACAAAACAAAATGGGAAATAACAGGTGAAAGACATACGGTACAAATGAAAATTTCAGTGTTCCAAATAAACCCATTAAACCGCCATAAGCCAGCTGGGCTCTGGCAAGCAACAAGTCAAGATGTAGGTACCTTCTTCAAATATTAATCTTAAACCAAAAGATAATCCTGGCAAACACAGAAAAATCTGGGCCTTAGCAATTATTCCTGTGTAATTTCTTTGACAGCTGTATGTACAGACCATATAAGGCCTAAAGGAAGTAACTAGATCCAAATAACCATAAACATTTGCACTATGGAATTTTCTTGCCATTTCGAAACTGTGGGTTTTTCCCATGATTCCTGAGTCGATTGGCAAGTGACTTATTCCTCAATTCACAAGTATGTTTATCCAATATAAGTTTATATTTCATACCTGTTTATTGATTATTAACCTATACATATACTGTTGTATTTGTGGGTATATATTACTTTGGTGTATAATCAGGAACCCATTTAATTTAATTTTTATTCCTCAATTCCCCACATAGAGATGTGTAAAAATGCCCAATTTAACATGTAATGGGATTCCCTCTTGCTCATTTGTAAATAAAATAATGACATCGTCATGGAGGGAGGAGCCAAGATTGATTCCTTTCTGCTACCATTACCATTTTGGGACTGAGGAGGTATAGCAAACAAGATGTTCAAAACTTTCAGGAGAAAATAGCAAACATACAAATTCTGCACTTCATGTCTCTGTAACCTTAGCAAGCTCTCTCTTTCCTGTGTTGGGTCATAAAACCCCTTTTGAACTYTTGCCTGAAACACCTGCTGTKCTGTTTTTGCCTATCAAAAGGATAGCAGAGAGAGATTTAAGAGACCTAAAGCTTCATTCTCTCTCTCTCTCCYCCCCCCCCCCCAATTTAAGTTTTTTTGGGCAGTAAATTAAACTCCAGAGATAAAAGGGAGACGTTTTTTTAAAAAAGAAAGAAACGAAAATGTGGGAGGGACAGCAGGGGAAACAAGTCTTTASTGTGTCATAAATGGATAAATCTTAAAGAAAGCGGAGAGAAGGATTAGGTGTGATGGAGGTAGGAATATTGTCCATTTAATTTCAGAACAGGTTATGGTGAAGCTTTATGGAAAAGCTATTCTCCCAAACACTTGACCTGTTCTGTGGAATGAAGTACATAGAGTTGGAAGAGACCACATGGGTCATCCAGTCCAGCCCCCTGCCATGCAGGAAAAGCACAATCAAAGCACTTCTGACAGATGGTCATCCAGCCGCTGTTTAAAAGCTTCCAAAGAAGGTGCCACCACCACACTCTGAGGCAGAGGCTTCCACTGTTGAACAGGCCTTGCAGTCAGGAAGTTCTTCCTAATGTTTAGGTGGAATCTCCTTTTCTGTCATTTGAACTCATTGCTCTGAGTCACAATCTCCAGGGCAGCAGAAAACAAGCCTATTCCCTCTTATGACATGATGAGATTCCAGTTAAGTCTTTGGCATTCAGTTCAAAGAAGGATCAGGTAGCAGATAATGGGAGGAATTGTCTTGGCCAGAGCCTTTGGAGAGCTATTGCTGCACCAGCCCTGTTGTTAGGCAGAGTGATGCAATCACCTTAAGAGATCGGTGCTGTACCAGAGAATGATTTATATTGTTGGTGGAGATAACTATTTCCTAAAAAGCCTGCCTTATGTCTTCTAAACCAATATGTTGCCTTCAGATGTGGTAGAAGATGCTGCCCCATCTCCAGTGTTGAAGAAACATTGCAGGGATGAATGATTTTGTCTCCAGGCAACAGGACCTCTTGAGCTGGCCCTGAGCTCCTGCCAGGCATAGTAGGTAATACCAGGCTGAATGGAGAAATAATATGACCTGGCAGAAAGGCACCTTCTCCTGCTTGTGAGCTTTCGGTGGCTCAGCTAGCCTGAACTCAGAATACTGTATAATCAATCATGACTTCCTCTGGTACTTCAAGCCAAACACATGTAGAAGGGAAGCTCTGCTTGGAATTGCTGATGAGTAATGTTTGAAGAACAACTCCTATCTACGTGCATCTCAATTTAGATTAGACTGTTTAAAGAACAGCTCTTCTCTTGCTCCAGTGAGTAAGCACAAGACAGCCCTGTCACATCTTCACAGCTGAAGGTCACTGCCTTCATAGAAGTAGACAAGAACAAATCCATAGGTGGAGCATGCTGCTCGGCTGCGCATACCAGGCCTACGCTCCCAGGACTGAACGGCGGTTGGGTTTTAAATCAACAGTGTTTTGCTCTGTTAGCGCAAGCCTGACATTAATACACCTTGTAGGTGATGTTCAGTATCCTCTTGCAGCAATAATTTTGAGTGTTAGTAGGAAAACCTAGGACACTGTTAGCGGAGAGAAACATAACTGGGGTAAAAAGACATATAAAGCACAAGATAGTCGTGATAACACTATTTCACTCTAAATCTGTATTATTAACTCTGATCTCAATAAATACTTTCAGGACTAAGGAAAATGTATATAAGATCATAAGTGATTTATAGTGAATATATATATATATATAGAACGAAAGAGTGGGCTCTTGGTATTCATTGAAGTTTGATTCCATGGGTGCATCTACACTATAGAATTGATGCAGTTACTGACCACGTTAAGTGCCATGGCTCAATGTTATAGTGAGGCACCAGCACTCTTTGGCAAACAAGGCTAAAGGCCTTGTAAAACTGTGACATCCATGATCCCATCGTACTGAGCAATGGCAGTTACAGTGGTATCAAACTGCATTATTTCTACAGTGTAGATGGGCATGTTTGTTGTCATTCCAGCAGCAAGTGAAATTGTAGCAGTAAGTGAAATGTAGACGCACTCCAGAACCTCCCGTGGATAACAAAATCCATGGAGGATCAAGTCTTAATACATTCAGTGGTGCAGTAAAATGGTGTCCCATATACAGTATATGTCATAGCAAAATCAATTTTTGGATTGTTTGTGTGTGCGTGCGTGTGTGTGTGTGTGTGGAATATTTTCAAGCCACGAATGACAATTCATAGATACAGAATCTAGGGATATGGAGTGCCAACTGTAATAGGAAAACAATATATACACGTAATAAAATTCAAAATATATTTGTGTGTGTGGCTTGGGTGTCCCTTTACACAGACAAGATCCTGCCTCCACAAAGAGGCTCTCACTACTCAGGAGATACCCATGGCCCTCCCTCAAATGACACTGCAGGTTATAGCGAGCACCATGAACATGTCCAAGAACCCTGTCAATGTCCTCCACAAACACCATACTGCCCACCACTCAAGTGAAGGCTTTAATACGGGGACAATTTCATTCTAGATTGTATGTGTTTCCTCCTCCTCAGACACTCCAGTGTTTCTAACTCTCTCAAACAGTGTGGAATTTGCATGACCCCACCTACTGCCTCTCCCTTAACCCTTTCCTATTCTTTTCTATGGCACACAGCAAACAGAGGAATTGATCAGCAACCGAACATGGTTCACCATGAKTTATAGGTACTGGGATGTATAGTTMAGCTGCAATCTAAGACAACTCTGARCTCCACCAATGATGGACCTGGAATCACTYGRCACACAAAAACCCCATGACCAACAAAAAATACTGAGGTCTTTGGAGGGATTTATAGGAGTTGTAGTTYACCTACATCCAGAGCGCACTATGAACCCAAACAATGATGGATCTGCACCAAATTTGGCATGCAWACCCAATATGCCCAAATCTGAATACTGGTAGGATTTGAGGGGAATTGGACTGGACATTTTGGAGTTGTGGGTACTGGGATTTATAGTTCACCTGCAATCAAGGAGTACTCTGCCAAAGATGCACCTGGATCTAACTTGGCACACAAAACCCTCGTGACCAGCAAAAATATTGGAGGTCTTTGGGGAAAATTCACCTTCATTTGGGAAAGTTGTAGTTCACCTATATCCAGAGAGTACTGTGAACCTAAACACCAATTAATCTGGACCAAACTTGGCACACATACCTGATATGCCAAAATTTGATTACTGGAGGGGTTTGGGGCAACTGACCTTCCTTTCTGGGAGTTGTAGTTAACTCACAATCAGAGATACCAATGATGGATCTGGACCAAATTTAGCACACAGAACCCCCATGTCTAACACAACCTATTGGAGGAGTTTAAGGGCACTGACTCACCACAGTAGGAGTTGTGGTTTATCCTACAGCTAGAGAATTCCACTGATGATGCATCTAGAACAAACTTGCAGAACATATAGAGTACTGATGGGAATTTCACAGGGTTAACCTGGCATGATGTCATTTGTAGTTCACCCACAATCATATGCGTTTTGTACAATTAAAAAATTGACCATTTCAAATAACCTGGGCAATGCCAGGTATCCAAGTTAGCGTATAATGAAAAGAGTGGTAAAAAGGAATGTGATCAGTTGTTTATTTTGGGCTACTTTGTGTCCCTTCTGCCTCCTTTTTATAATTATTGTCAGAGAGATAATGTAAAGGACAGAAAAAAGCAAATTAATATTTCTTCAAAGAATTGTAACATAACTAGAAATTTATCTACACTTGTTATCACTTCATGTAGAATCCTATCATCACACGTATATGTATCAGTCTCTCTCAATTATCTGTGTCTTTCTATCCATCAATCATCTTTCTATTTATCATCTGCCTATGTATTTTCTCATCCATACTCATCCATTCTTTGTCTTTTGATTTCCAAGACTCCTATAAAGAATAAAAATCTGTTCGTAATGAACAATGAATGAGAAACCCTCAACCAGAAATATTAAAAAGCAAGCCAGTAAGCAAGCAAGCGAACAAATCATCAATCTCAAGCTTTTACTGATTTAATCTAGAGATATATTTTGACCCAGTGTATTGTGAGGTATATAACTATCACATTTTTATCTTTTAATGGTATTTTATGTGTAGTTTGTTAGTGTAATTTTAAATCTTTTAAAATATTGTCAATAGTTCAATCCAATTTCAAGGTTCACTTTTTGTATATTTTTAGAATCCATGTCCCCTGTATTTTGACTATATTTGAACTGGAAGTATATGATACATTGCACTGGAGGACCTAGAGAGGACCACAAAAATGCCTATGGGTAAGTGAAACCATGGATATTGAATCTGTGAATAAGAAGAGTGTTTTGTGATATGGAATCAAGAATACCTCACAGTTCCCAAACACTCAGACCCAGAAAAATCTGTGTTCATGCGAGATAATATGTTTATGTAATGTTCATGTTAAGCAGCTGTTAGCTTTCTTTTTGTCAAAATATTTTAACTAACACAATTTCTGCTACTTTTTGTGGTTAAAAATGAGTATGGCAGGTGGCTGAAACTTGCCGATATTCTTTATAACTCTCCAAGCGACAATGTTGTAAAATACCTACCTTACGGATCTGATTCTAAGTAAATTTTGCAATCAAGCATCATTTTGCAGGTCTGAAAGTGAAGAATGAACAATGAAGAAGTGTAACAAATCATATTCAAATATAACTGGTATCAAATTGCTTTTTGAAATAAACATTCTAAGCAGTAAAGATCCCCCCTAGTCATCTATGGCACATGTGCTAAACACAAACTCAGCAGGCCAAATTTGGCCCACCATGCTATTTTATGTGGCCTGTGAGGCTTTCAATGCTGGGATAACATAGTTATATAGTCTTATGATTACAAATGGCCCTTTGAAGGCCACTATAAACCTGATGTGGTCCTTGGTAAAAATGAGTTTGACATTGCCCTGCTATGGTAAGACCTCTAGAAACAGAAGCTTCTTCCAACCTTAGGTAAGTATCCAGCCTAAATGCAACAAAATTTAAAACCCACAAGCAGTGATAACATTTATTGGGCCAACTCCAAAGCAAAAAACACATTATGCAAGCTTTCAAATCTTCACTGGGATCTTTATTAAGCAAAGAGGTTAAGAAGCATACAGAAGGGGGGAAAGGTGAAGATGTGAGACCACAGACCGACCTTCTGTCTCAGGTGTTATTCCGTAGTCAGTTAAGATGGTATTGAAGGATTTCAGAGTGTGGATTGAGGAGAAAGGGCAAGGTTGACAGATTGATTCAGAGAGTATCACTCAGAGAGAAATTTCAAGCATAATCGGCATTTCACAAGAACATGTGGGTCACATTATTGCTTTGCTTGGTTATTGGAAGATCTGTGCACGATGGGTACTCAGGATGCTGATGCCTGAAATGAAAGCACACAGACATGAAACTTTAGAGACTGGATCTCACCACCATATGACATCCTCCAGATTTAGCACCGTCTGACTTCCACCTGTTCCCAGTAATGAAAGAAGATGTGTGGGAACATCATTATGCTTCTGATGAAGACGTTGAGAGAACTGTGAGATGCTATTTGCGGAAACAGAGTGTCGACTTCTTCCATAACGGCTTTAGAAAACTTGTTCATCGTTGGCAGAAATGTATCCAATTGTCTGGTGATTATGTGGAAAAGTGAATAGTGGTAGTTAAAGAGCACATTCTAAGGATTATTCTGTGTTTGATTTATTAAAATATTCCCATCCAAACCCAAGTAACGAAGGTAGAGGCATTACTTTTCATTCAACGTCGTACTAAGGGGACAATGGTGGTTAGCACTATAGCTACCAGATGTATTTTCATCACATATATCTCAATTGCCTTCATTTGAAAAAAAACTTGACAATCCTTCTTGATGTCATGAGTAAGCAGGCCCGTAGCCAGGATTTTGATTCGGGAGGGGCTGAGTTTGATTCGGGGGGGGGGGCTGAGTCTGAGTGAAAGAGGGTCTATCCTAGCAAACCTTTTGTATCGTTACCCCAATACCCCCATGCATATGGGATATATTGAGCATGGTGATCAGATCATGATATGAATAAACATAACAGTTTAAATAATGTACCAGTAAGGCCTTCTCACGGACCACCATGAGAATTTCGGGGGGGGGGGGGGGGGCGGAAGCCCCTCAAGCCCCCCCCCCCCCCCCGGCTACATGCTGTGGGATGTGGAAGAGCTTTGACAATCAACCTAAATGAGTTCTCACATAGATTGTTTAATAATTATTTTGTGGGGTTTTAAAAATAAAGGTGATGGCATTTTCTTATAAGCCTGTGTCATTTTACTGGAAGTATATATCTTAACTTCCTATGCAGTGGATATTTATTGTTGTTGTTATTGAAGATCTTTTAAGGTCAGCCTTAGGTGTTCTGCATTTGTTTTTAATGTTGTTTTATTAACTTCCATTTTATGTAATGTGTATGAGTTTTAATTAGTTTGCCATTCTGGGATTTCTTATGATTTGAAAGTATGTATCAAATTATATAATTACTAAGTTATCATGCATGATAAAATATATAATAGTTCCCAATGGACAATTAGAAACAGTAATCTTAAATGTACATATTTGTGATTAACTTCCATTGCATTCAGGACAACCTATTTCTAAATAGAAACTCAAGATTATGTTGTTAAAACCACCAATAGCAAATGCTTTATTTCAAGATAATGTATGATAGATGCATATCTGACAGTGGGGCAACCCCTCAGATTTCTTTGCCTTGAGGTCTGGTTACACACAAAGCTAAAATATCAGAACACAGTATTTACTATACAGCAGCAATAATCTAGTTATCATTCTGTATCAGTGTCTAGGCTTAACCCTAATTAACTTTTAATTTGGCAGTGTTACCAAACACACCAGACAGAAGCTTTGGGGACCAGAATTTTCTTGAATATGAAAAGGCTGCAGAATAATAAAGAATTTAAGATTAGCAAAAACAGGAGAACGATCTTATTTCTATTCCTCGCTCTAAATGTTTATTCACTTGCTTAAATAATGCAAATTCCACTCTCCATCAAAGCAGTTAACCTTTATTCATGGGCCAGAATATATGTATAATGTCACGTGAATCATATGAAAGAAGGGCGAAACAATGATAGACTAACAATTCTAATATGAAATGGAGCCATGGGCATTTTAAAAGTCTATTTAACCTTTTTTTCTGTTAATTCAAAAGAAGGGTGAACCTTTTTTTTGGAAAGCCACTGGTCAGATAATCTTTTTGACAATGGAAATCTCCATAACCCTTTGGAGATTTCATGATCTTTGGAAAGGCATGACCTTGTTAGAAGTCACAACCTTTGGAAAAATGATGCCATAACCTCTTGGTAAAAAGCATGACCTGTTAAGAGTCATAAGCCTTTGGGAAAATGGCATTAACCAGCATTCATGCAAGACAACTATGTTTCTCAGCTGTTAAACTGATGTACTTAGGTATGTCTTTGAACTGTTAGGGACAAAGATATGCTAATGCACAAACGTATATATATATATTCAGCAGAGTTTCAGAAGTGTTCTTTTAGTTGCCCAAATTTTTTTTTGCCTTTAAACCATGCTCTCAAGAGACAAAAATAAGTAGACTTCTTTAAAAGTACACATTGTTGGTTTATTCACAAACTTCATGTATTCCGCATATAGGTACTTTGCTTATCAATCCCACTACAAATAGGATTTGAAGTAGTTTCCTCTGTGTAGGTAACACAGGGCATGTTTCTTAGAATCAATAGTCGATAGTCCAAAGCATCTCTGTTTTGAGAGTCTAATAGAGTGTCTGTGTCTAGTCTCTCAGCACACAGTTCCTGCTGGCATCTGAAAGCATACTTCTCTACTGAAGTCTACACTGAACTGTTCCTACAGTCTTCTAAAAACAAACTGGTTTCTAAAATGGAGTCTGAATCCTGAACAGGCCCAGACCTGATCACATGGTCTGCAGGCCCTCCCACAACAAAAAGGTTAAATAAAATTGCAAACCAATAAATACATATACAATACAGTAAGCAATTATATACATAACAAATAAAAATGTTGCTATTTCCAACATTTTTCAGCTGTGAAGGAAAATTTCTGATTCTAAAAATAATAATTGTGGAAATACATGGAAGTATCCACAAATGGTCATCAGACAGCTGAGTGGTAATCACCAGAGCCTGACATATTAGGTTTGAAATTAATTTCTTAAAGCTACTTGTTAGAGTGAGAGGAATTTAATTCACTGCATTTATGGTAATAGTGAAATGACTAAATTCATTAATTGATGTTTTTCTTCCCCTTTATGATTTTTAACTTTTTCCCCATAAAAAAGCCAGTGGGACTTCTAAAGTCTGCATGATGTTCTTTGTACATTTTTATTGGACCAATAAAGGCATTGTTGGGATTAATTGATTCATTTTTTATCTGTTATTTTTCAAAACATACTACGGGACTTACGGAGAATGACACAGGGATTGCCATCCCTGACTTACAGGGGCACATTTTGTGCTTGGCTTCCTTAAAAGTGCTTTTTAATTCCTTTTGAATTTGCCTTCCCCCAACCTGGCACCAAAAGCATATTACTTAAGTCTGATGTTCATTAAGACACTTATTGGTGTCCTCTTACGCATCTTTGTAATTCAGTAGCAGAGTTTCTTAGGCTGGATCTACACTGCCCTATATCTCAAGATCTGATCCCAAATTATTTGGCAGTGTAGACTCATATAATCCACTTCAAAGCAAATAATCTGGGATCAGATCCTGGGATATAAGGCAGTATAGATCCAACTATAGTCTCTCTGCAATGTAGCTAAGTATAGTGGGGTGGGGAGTATTTAGTAGACCTCAACTATGAGATACAACATGAGATTTCTGCGTCTCACAGACAGGCTCCTCTGTCCTCCACTCATTGCCTGTAGTAATGGCACCAATGTGATTTTCTGGATGTGTTTTCTCATGTTGTCTCTCATAATTGAGGTCTACCTATGATGTCAGTTACAGGCCTCTCTCATCTTTTTCAGTGGGAGAACTTGTACAATTGGTATCTGACTAAATACTCCCCCCGCCCCACTGTATATATAAAGTTATCTGATGCAGACCATGATAGATTATGCTGTTTGTAAGCCACCACTTTCTGATACACAATGGGATAGAAATATTTTAATAAATAATAAATTAATAAGAAATAATGCTATTTACTAGAAAGAATAAGAAAAAATGAACCAATCAGGCAAAGGTATTTTGTCTATTATAAGAACCCAAACCATTTCCCCCCTGAAAGCTGCCTTCCCCCTCTTAACAA